CATATCTTTAATTAGACTATAGACTATTTTAAAGCTTATTCATGTATATATATAGAGTTATATGTATTTTAGTTTAGAGTCTTTTAGATTTTTAGAGATAGTTTTTCTTTAGTTGTTCGTTGAGTTGTTTAGTAACTTGAGTTGAAGGCTAGTAAGTTTGGAACTTGCTAAGTCGTAAAAGAATAAAGATATTAGTATTATCAGTGTCTGGGACACTTGAAAGACATATTAGTTACTACGTTTTGGTGCCTTTGTATGTTAATAAAATATTCACTTTATCTTTTATTAATGATTACGACCCTTTGCTAAATTGGCTAAATGGATATAAGACTCTCCCTTGGTCGTAACAATGTAACATCATCTATATGCTAAATGTAATACTTTTAGCAGGGTTTCTATTATTTTCCCGACAACACTTTCTGACAAACAAAATCCTGACAAAAATTGACTAGAATTAACACTAACACTAACCTAATGCGGGCTAACTTGTCGGGATTTTAACATTGTTGAGAAAATGATAGGATCCCCTTTTAGCAAGTATGTAACTTGCCATAAATATTGATTTATGCAGTGTTTATATATACAGCATATACTGTATTACATAATACTCTGCAGATAGTATGTTGTGACACTTGTATATATATGTTGTATGTGGGTTTGGAATTCTGTGGATTCTTAATTAAGTAGATTGCAGGTCTTAAAAAAATCAGTCATGAATCATATGTATTTAAAAGAATCGTATTGAAGTTTTCAAGTAAAAATGTCAATCAAAAAATATTTCTTTAAGACAAGTTTTTAATAAATGTTAAAATGTCAATCCAAAAATATTTCTTTAAGACAAGTTTTTAATGAATGTTAAAATGTCAATCCAAGAATATTTCTTTAAGACAAGTTTTTAATAAATTAGTTAATAAGTATTTGAAAAAAAATCATTCAAGACAAAACTTTTATTTCACACTCAATTACAAACATATTACTGTAGTACATACTGTATGTACTACATTAGCCTACTAATATAAATTTGGGAATTCAAAAGGTTGATATTTTGACTAACAATTCTTTCAACTACATACATGTTGCAATTCAAAAATAGATTATAACGTCATTGATTAGTTTATTTTATCTTGTAAAATAATTAAGAAATTGTTAAATGAAACATATCACTTGTGATGTAAAATGTCTATTGAAGTACTTAAGGTGAATAAAATTATACCACAGAGAAAACAGAATATGGAAGGCTTGAAGTTGATCGAGACAAATTATTAATGTACGAAAAATTGCAAGAATGTAGTCTGTTTCTACTATAACTGGCACAAAAAAAAATAATGCTTGTAAATGTAGACGATAGAAGCATTGCCATACCCATAATTTCAAATATAAAAATAGAAAACATTTTTCTGAATTCACTTATGTAAAACCAGAATCCACAGGGTTCCAAATCTACCTACAACATATACTATAAAAGTGCAAAATAATGCCTGTGAGCGTTATTTTGAATGTCAGAACCTTCAAAAATAGCATATGCAGCTTTGAATTTTTGTTCCTCATCGAGGAGTATTACAAAATGCCAACAAATGAAAATGAAAACAACATGAAAAGCAACTATAGATATCTGTTCTTTTTGCTCACATGCTATACATGCTACACTATTAACAATGCAAAACTCAAAAGTATCACAAGAATCTGTCCTAAACTTGACGGTTTTCTAAGGGCATCATACATCAAAAGGGCAGAGCAAAAAAACCAGATAATTTTACTGGAAAAAACCTTCATTTCTTTTCCGATTGTTCTAAAATCAAGAATACAAACTTGTACAGACCAAGTATTTCATGACTGTCATCCCAACAGGATACTTCCTCATAAAAATCCAAGAAATTTCTTCACACCTGTCATTTTAACAGGCTGCTTTAATATATAAAAAATGAAAAACAATTTTGCTTATAAAAATCTAAGAAATTTCTTCACAGCTATCGTCTTAACAGGCCGCTTCAATATATAAAAAATAAAAAACAATTTTGTGACTATCATCCTGACAGGCTACCACTAACCAAAACTAATGACAAACTCATTGTGACTGTCATCCTGACAGGTCACTTCTAAAACAAAATATATGCCTATTGTTCAACAGGCTATA